AGATGTGCCAAGCTTATACCCCAAGAGACTTGCAGCTGTAATTGCTGCAAAAGGTGGCTCTACAAAGTATTGACTTTTGGGGGGGTGAATAGTTATGCACGCTCAAGTTTTTTTTTTTTTTTTTTTGTCTTATTTCTTGTTTGTTTCAAAATCAAAAATATTTTGCATCTTCAAAGTGGTAGGCATGTTGTGTAAATCAAATGTTACAAACCCCCCAAAAATCAATTTTAATTCCAGGTTGTAAGGCAACAAAATAGGACAAATGCCAAGGGGGGTGAATACTTTCGCAAGCCACTGTACAAGTCATTTAATATGGCGGGCTAGTGAACTTTGTAAGTCACAGTACAGCGGTAAGGATGAGAGGTATAAGATGGGCATGTACATTTTCAGTTTACTGTTGAACTCTACCAATCTAGATTACATTAAATCCATTGCGTATGATATTTGCATAGTTCTTGGTAGCATAATTAACTCAATGTTGGTGAAGGTCAGCTTAGATAAACTACAGAGTCAAATAGAACATTTGAACACTATTACAGAGGAAAAACAATTCAACGTCGATGTTTTGGAGTCCTGAAAACTCAGAGGAGGACTTTGGGAAAGAAGCACTTTGGGGGAAAAAGCTAAATCACCATTCATTGAGTGTTTTGAAAAAATCAGGAAGCAGGCCCTCGAAGACATTGTCCATTGCACTGATAAAAAACAGTTTACAAACTAATTTCCTTCCTGTTTTGACTTGATGAAAGGAGAAGCACAGAGATTCTCGTCCTACAAAATCAAGTCAGAATCAAAAAAAGCACAGCAGTGTGTGAGGCTATGTTTAAAAATACTAAGAAGTTATACTTTGAATATAAAAAAAAAACAGATGTACAGTGTACAGTGGGGGAAAAAAGTATTTAGTCAGCCACCAATTGTGCAAGTTCTCCCACTTAAAAAGATGAGAGAGGCCTGTCATTTTCATCATAGGTACACGTCAACTATGACAGACAAAATGAAAAAAAAAAATCCTGAAAATCACATTGTAGGATTTTTAATGAATTTATTTGCAAATTATGGTGGAAAATAAGTATTTGGTCAATAACAAAAGTTTCTCAATACTTTGTTATATACCCTTTGTTGGCAATGACACAAGTCAAACGTTTTCTGTAAGTCTTCACAAGGTTTTCACACACTGTTGCTGGTATTTTGGCCCATTCCTCCATGCAGATGTCCTCTAGAGCAGTGATGTTTTGGGGCTGTCGCTGGGCAACATGGACTTTCAACTCCCTCCAAAGATTTTCTATGGGGTTGAGATCTGGAGACTGGCTAGGCCACTCCAGGACCTTGAAATGCTTCTTACGAAGCCACTCCTTCGTTGCCCGGGCGGTGTGTTTGGGATCATTGTCATGCTGAAAGACCCAGCCACGTTTCATCTTCAATGCCCTTGCTGATGGAAGGAGGTTTTCACTCAAAATCTCACGATACATGGCCCCATTCATTCTTTCCTTTACACGGATCAGTCGTCCTGGTCCCTTTGCAGAAAAACAGCCCCAAAGCATGATGTTTCCACCCCCATGCTTCACAGTAGGTATGGTGTTCTTTGGATGCAACTCAGCATTCTTTGTCCTCCAAACACGACGAGTTGAGTGTTTACCAAAAAGTTATATTTTGGTTTCATCTGACATTCTCCCAATCCTCTCCTGGATCATCCAAATGCACTCTAGCAAACTTCAGACGGGCCTGGACATGTACTGGCTTAAGCAGGGGGACACGTCTGGCACTGCAGAATTTGAGTCCCTGGCGGCGTAGTGTGTTACTGATGGTAGGCTTTGTTACTTTGGTCCCAGCTCTCTGCAGGTCATTCACTAGGTCCCCCCGTGTGGTTCTGGGATCTTTGCTCACCGTTCTTGTGATCATTTTGACCCCACAGGGTGAGATCTTGCGTGGAGCCCCAGATCGAGGGAGAATATCAGTGGTCTTGTATGTCTTCCATTTCCTAATAATTGCTCCCACAGTTGATTTATTCAAACCAAGCTGCTTACCTATTGCAGATTCAGTCTTCCCAGCCTGGTGCAGGTCTACAATTTTGTTTCTGGTGTCCTTTGACAGCTCTTTGGTCTTGGCCATAGTGGAGTTTGGAGTGTGACTTTTTGAGGTTGTGGACAGGTGTCTTTTATACTGATAACAAGTTCAAACAGGTGCCATTAATACAGGTAACGAGTGGAGGAAAGAGGAGCCTCTTAAAGAAGAAGTTACAGGTCTGTGAGAGCCAGAAATCTTGCTTGTTTGTAGGTGACCAAATACTTATTTTCCACCATAATTTGCAAATAAATTCATAAAAAATCCTACAATGTGATTTTCTGGATTTTTTTTTCTCAATTTGTCTGTCATAGTTGACGTGTACCTATGATGAAAATTACAGGCCTCTCTCATCTTTTTAAGTGGGAGAACTTGCACAATTGGTGGCTGACTAAATACTTTTTTTCCCCACTGTATAGTGTATAGCTAAATTGCACCATTTGTATTATAGTTTATGAGAGAGTCCTCTGTATAGAAATCCAGAAGAAGCTATCAAAAAACAATTTCTAACTCGTAGACACATGGCAGAAAGAAAACCGGGCGCCTAAGTTGCGCGTGCAGGTGTTCTAAGAAATACAAAATCGTTTCCCTGAATAACAACCCATGCAGAAGCATTAAACCGCCGGCCCAGTAGAATAAACCTGATGCACAGAAAGATCTAGAATCCCTCCGGTATTCGGTGAGTGTAGCTATTGGAGATGTTGTTTGTACATTTCCAAATACAAGCTGTTGGCTCAACTCATCCATACAGTACATTTTTACATCTACAGGCAGTGAAATATATTTTCATTATGAGTAAAACTCAGATTAAAGATAACTTTGCTGTTCTAGTCGGAGTCCAGGCTACACCTTCCAACACGCCACAATGTTTTTAAATTTATTTATTTAGATTAATACAACTATACTGAACAAAAATATAAACGCAACATGCAACAATTTCAGCGATTTTACTGAGTGACAGTTCATATAAGGAAATCAGTCAATTGAAATAAATTAGTTAGGCCCTAATCTATGGATTTCACATGATTGGACAGAGGCGGAGCCATGGGTGGGCTTGGGAGGGCATAAGCCCACCCACTGGGGAGCCAGGCAGAGCCAATCAGAATGAGTTTTTCCCCACAAAAGGGCTTTATTACAGACAGAAATACTCCTCAGTTTCATCAGCTGTCCGGGTGGATGGTCTCAGACGATCCCTCAGGTGAAGAAGCCGGATGTGGAGGTCCTGGGCTGGCGTGGTTACACGTGGTCTGCGGTTGTGAGGCCGGTTGGACGTACTGCCAAATTCTCTAAAACGACGTTGGGAGGCGGCTTATGGTGGAGAAATGAACATTCAATTCTCTGGCAACAGCTCTGGTGGACATTCCTGCAGTCAGCATGCCAATTGCACGCTCCCTCAAAACTTGAGACATCTGTGGCATTATGCTGTGTGACAAAACTGCGCATTTTAGAGTGGCCTTTTATTGACCCCAGCACAAGGTGCACCTGTGTAATGATCATGCTGTTTAATCAGCTTCTTGATATGCCACACCTGTCAGGTGGATGGATTATCTTGGCAAAGGATAAATGCTCACTAACAGGGATGTAAACACATTTGTGCACAACATTTGAGAGAAAGAAGCTTTTTGTGCATATGGAACATTTCTGGGATCTTTTATTTCAGCTCATGAAACATGGGATCAACACTTTACATTTTTTGTCAAATTAACTAATAATTGTCTTTTGTTGAATATATATATAACTACATTCAAATCTTGTTTAACATTATCTAGTCCAATTGTGGCATGATACCACTATTGTTATCCGTTTGCGTCAGTTTCAATGGGGGACTTTTATTTTTGAAGGCGAACCGCCGATTCCACTATTGTTGCTCACGCTAATGTTGTTCACAACACACTGGTACGATTGAGAGAAAAATAAGCGCTGATGTGTTGTATTTGTTGCCTCTTTCTGCGTCTTGAAGTTCTCCAAAATAGGACGCATTGGTTGGCGAGCAAGCAGTTCAGGAAACAGATGAAATGTGATACAAATCCCAAGAAAACGGACTACATTGTAGCCGTTAAGCAATAATGTAACCAATATGTATCAAATCGCTCATCAAGAAGCGTTGCAACAGTCCTCTGGTCCAATCCATTTCTGGGAGAGGGGAGCACATTTATTTCAAACATTACAAAACAACTATGTGCCAATTTTTTAAGGAATTTCCACGAAAAATATTAATAGATTTTAGTCTGTAGGCTACACATACATAACATAGGCTATGTATTACATTTTCTAACAACAGCTGCAAATCACGTTACGTAATTTATTTTCTTACCGTCTTCTGACCCCTCTCCTGTAATGGTGTCTTCCAGAGAGTGTCGGGACGGTCAGATGACCGTGAATTTGAGCTGATGTGCTGGCCAAAATCAATTGAAATGTTTTCTTCATATCATCATTATTATACATATCATCATTATTATACATTAAATTGTTAAAAATATATATATATATATATATATATATATATATATATATATATATATATATATATATATATATATATATGAAATTAGGTATTTTGGCCATGTAGGCCTGTCCATTTTCTTTGTTTTGAAGGCTAGAAACAAAGAAAAACAGCCAATGAATAATGCAACACATTTCATATTGGTGTACAATATTTTGGATATGAGATCCTCTGTATAGGCTGCATGTATAGGCATAGGGCTATGCAAAAAGGTTGCACAATTTGTAATGCTGTGAAGCACTGGCTGCTTTCAAACAAGCACAGATGCTTTTTCTTTCTTTTTCCTTGTTTCAGTCTTATTGATCATTAATGAATGTGAAAAGATTGATAACCTGTTAATAAAACTAGCAATACCGAATGTCCCCACGTTCCCATACTGATTTAACCAATCCTGGTCTTGTAGAGATCAGACAACGATAGAAAGGAAACGAACCCAAGGGTATGAAGGAAGCGGCCGTGATTTCAGTCGCTTACAGACAGTCACATGTTTACGTTGTATTGCTCATATGACTATCGCGTTCAAAAATGACAGCTGGATCCAGCCAGCAGAATGCAGCAGGGGTCTTATTAATCATTCATTTATGTTTCTATGGGGGTTATCAACTGACTGAGTTACAGGTAAGGGTCTGCTTCAGCTCTATACCATACAGGAATGCTGCGCAGCGCGCCATATCAGGTTATTTACATTGTAACTGCTGCTACACTCAGAGTAGAGCTCTTACAGTGTTTATACACTCGGATGTGCTACATTGTATTGTTATATTGTAACTGCTATGCTACTTGGCTACACTCACTGTTGCTATTGTAATGCCCCGTTTCGTCTTGCCCTGCTACTGAATGGACATCTGTTTTTAGCGCAATATGGAGAAGAGCCTGTCTCAAGTCAGAGATAGCATTTCTTTTGGGAGATTGCAAAATATGACGTTTTCATTCAAAACAGGATAAATATATTGTTTCAGGTGATAATAAAACAACATGTTATGTTTAGTTACTTTTTCCTCAACTTGTTTCTCTAACTTTATAGCCAAGTCAAGCTAGCTTGCAGTGCAGAGCGCCACCTAATAATTATCATCAAAAACAAACACCATTACGGTCACAATAAACTAAAACGGGAGGCAACAGTCATATAATAAAATTGTCTTAACAGCCAATGTGTATTTTTTAGCTAGCTGTGCCACTAGAGATCCTGGTTCGAATCCAGGCTCTGTCGTAGCCGGCCGCGACCGGGAGACCCATGGGGCGGCGCACAATTGGCCCAGCGTCGTCCAGGGTAGGGGAGGGAATGGCCGGCAGGGAGGTAGCTCAGGTGGTAGAGCATGGTGTTTGCAACGCCAGGGTTGTGGGTTAGATTCCCACGGGGGTACGCTCTGGATAAGAGCGTCTGCTAAATGACTAAAAATGTAATTTTTTTAACGTTACTATTAAAATGGTACTTATAGGAATGGGTAATTGTTTACAAGTTGCTAGCTATCCAATAAAGCCATCACTGAAAACCACATATTTGCATCTTGTTTTGTGGTTTGGTAACCTCCTGTTTTCGGTGGTGGCTTTATGGGATATCTAGCACCTTGAAAACAATTACCAATTCCTATAAGTACTATTTTAATAGTTATGTTTCGTCTCTCTGTGTTTCATAATTGTCCTTCAATATCCAAGAGGCTGAATGTATCTCACCGGAGAAAGCATCCGAGAGAGCGAAAGAGCGGCCCTATGTCTCTGTATGTGTTGGCCATCTATCCGATGCTGTCTGACCAAAAAAAGTATGACATTGTTGCCGCCCGTATCATTGAATGCAAGGGAAGCCAGCGAGCATTTCACCTCCCTTGATAAAAAAAAGTATAAAATAGCCAATCAGCGTCGAGCAATGGACATTATACCGGTGGAAATGTGTCCTTTGGTCTGGAGTCCAAATTTGAGATTTTTGGTTCCAACCGCCATGTCTTTGTGAAACGCGGTGTGGGTGAACGGATGATCTCCGCATGTGTATTTCCCCCGTAATGCATGGAGGAGGAGGTGTTATGGTGTGGGGGTGCTTTGCTGGTGACACTGTCTGTGATTTATTTAGAATTCAAGGCACACTTAACCAGCATGGCTACCACAGCATTCTGCAGCGATACGCCATCCCATCTGGTTTGGGCTTAGTGGGACTATCATTTGTTTTTCAACAGGACAATGACCCAACACACCTCCAGGCTGTGTAAGGGCTATTTTTCCAAGAAGGAGAGTGATGGAGTGCTGCATCAGATGACCTGGCCTCCACAATCACCTGACCTCAACCCAATTGAGATGGTTTGGGATGAGTTGGACCTCAGAGTGAAGGAAAAGCCTTCACTTTTACGTTTATTGTGATGGTTATGGCGTTTGTTTTTTATGATAATTATTTGGTGGAGTTCGCTAGTGACAGTGGCATCTTCAACCTAGCCTAGCTTTAAACTAGCTAGCTACTCTGCAGCGCAAGCTAGCTTGACTTGCTATAAAGTTAGAGAAACGAGTTGAGGAAAAAGTAACTAAAGAAAACATGTTTCATTATCACATGAAACAATATATGTATCCTGTCTTGAAGGTCATATTTTGCAATCTCCCAAAATAAATGCGATCTCTGACCAGATACAGGCTCTCCGTTACAAACACTACACATGTCGGTTCAGTAGAGTGGCAGGACTCGGTGAAGACCTACGGCGTACTGAAATACGTCACGATGTAAACCGGGCCATCAATAACTGTCTGCTGCTAGTCTTGTCTGCAACATTCACTGAGATTTGTTGCTTGAAGCTATTTCTCAATAGTTTCCTGGAAGATCGTTTTTCTTCTTCTTCTTAATCAGTTGTTGAAGAAAGCTGTTGATGTTGATAAAGGCGTTGTGAATATCTCTGTTGTGAATTTGTGCTGAACAAACAGGTATGCCACCTCTGCAACGGAACAGTGCAGAACGGCACCGCTCTGGGCCAGTTCTGTTCCGCGGCTGCGGGTTTGATTGACGGACGCTGCTGCCTACTGCGAAAACAAAACCCCAGCAATGCTGACTACGTCATTGGGTAGGTTTTTGTGCTTTGACAACACATTACATGACATTTACAAAAAAAAATAATATCATACTGCCCCCCCGTGGGAATCAAACCCACAACCCTGGCGTTGCAAACGCCATGCTCTACCAACTGAGCTACATCCCTGCCGGCCATTCCCTCCCCTACCCTGGACGACACTGGGCCAATTGTGCGCCGCCCCATGGGTCTCCCGGTCACGGCCGGCTACGCCAGGCTTTGTTTTGTAACCTTTAGCAGTTGATAACCTGGTGGTCCCAGTGAATTGCCCATAGGACAAATACTCAATGATTATTCACTTTATGTAATAACACATTTAGTAACATTCCACAACTGTAACGTGGAACAACTGGTTAGTAAAATATACCAACTGATTGTAGCCAAATGTCTCATTGTCATTATGTTGCATTATATATTTCCCCTAAACGTTTTTCATCCCACTCTGTTTCACACTCAGGTTGGACCTATCAAACTGTTCTCTAAGCCATGTAGAGGACCTTCAAGAGGCATCAACAGCTGCAATGATGTATGGAAAACAGACCATTTTACATTTAGGCTACAAACATGATCAGTTTGTTCCCATTTTAATACAGCCGGTGGTACTTACAGACGTATCTTCTCTTCTCTTCTCTCTGTTACTCTTCTTCCACAGAGATCTCTCACTGAACCCCATAGTTAACCTGAACAATTCACTGTTTCAAGGCTTCATCCAGTTGGGTTACCTGTAAGTACAACTCACTGAGCTGTCTTATCAAGTCCAATCTTGCAATGCACATTTTAATGTCCAATCAGTTCCTTATTAGAATAGAATTCACACATATTTTAATGTCCAATCAGTTCCTTATTAGAATAGAATTCACACACATTTTAATGTCCAATCAGTTCCTTATTAGAATAGAATTCACACACATTTTAATGTCCAATCAGTTCCTTATTAGAATAGAATTCACACATATTTTAATGTCCAATCAGTTCCTTATTAGAATAGAATTCACACATATTGTATTGTCCAATCAGTTCCTTATTAGAATAGAATTCACACATATTTTAATGAGCCTATATCCTTTCTTTTTGGACCTGCAAGGGCTCTGCCTGCCAACCTGGCCTGTCCGGGAGGCAATGCATCGTGGGATAAGGTGGAGGTCAAAGGGGACACATGTCATTGTGAAGGACAGAAGGACATCTGCAACCAGACTGAACACCTGTGTGAGTCACTGTCAAGGTGTTTTGCTGCATGATCGTTGTTGTTGTTGTGTTGAATGAAGAAGTAGCATAGTCCTTATTTGTAGTTTATAGGACAATAACTAAAAGTGGGTACCCCGCCACTGTTTTGGTAAATAGAAGAATGGGGCTTGGGAAATGTAACCACTCTCAAATTCATAGACATAGCTATGGATGGAAGGACTGACCATCCATGATATCAACATGATAGTTTTAACCATGTTATGAGGCGATACAGTGTTTGTTTACAATGACTTTGTTTACAAACAATGGAGTAAACAAGCGTATATTTTTGTTATAATGAGGTACCGAAGTTGAACTAAGCTCATGAGGCATTTCTAAGTTATACTCTTCAACAATCAGTGGGTATATGTAATTCATTTAAGAAGTCAAAAAAACGTATGTATATCGCAGATTGCCCCCTTTAAACTCACTTTGGGAAATTAAAAATGTGGGTGTCACCTTAGCTGTGATTCTGAATACAGTGATCTGGTATCAATATTATAGTTGGCATTGTGGTTCGTTGCTGTCATAATTTCTGTTCATAAAGTATCTTATGAGTCTAAGCTTTCCCCCCATAACATTGCTTCTACAGCGTTGAACTGCCCGGAGAACTCCCTCTGTTCAGCATACGGTCCAGGCTTCTTTGAGTGTAGCTGTGTGGACGACTTCCATGGATACAAGTGTCTTCGAGAGGTCAGTTAGTACACCACGTCATCCCTGTATTAGTATTTTCGTGACAATGGCTTTAACTTCATCATCATCATCAACAACATTCATTCATATCCAATCTCTGATTGTTGGAAGACAGAATGAGCGTTAATTGCCAAGGGAACTCACAGCCTTTCAAACAAAACAACCAAACCCCCATTGTGGTGTCAATGCTATGGTAACACTGAGTCACATTGTTGTTCTCCTCGCTGTTGTTGACAGGGGAAGTTCCCTATAATCCAGGTGTTCGGGCTTCTAGGGGCCTCCACAGTCCTGGTCTCCATCCTGCTATGGGTCACCCAGAGACGCAAGGTCAAATCTGTCTGAGGTTGTACCCACTCCCCTGGTCTGAGGCCTGGTCCTGGGCCTCTATGGTTGGAAGACACTGATATTTTCCAGTGATGCCGACATGAAGAGACAGGGAAAATCTGATGCGAACAGTTTTAAAACGGACTTCTATGGAGACAGTTGGATCATGCTCTGGACCTTTATTGTTTTAATCATCCGTTTTGATGGGGTTGTTAAATCTTTGATTTATCGCCACGGATGTTAGAAGTGTTGTACCTTGCAGGCGTTTCCCTAGATCAACATCTAAGAGATAGTGGTGTTGTAAGACAATATATAACCTCACACTAATAGCCTATGTGCCAAATCATGTTTATAAAAAAAAAGTTTAGTAAGATGCTAGGGGCCAGTTTCCCGCACACAGACTAAGCATAGCCCTGGACTAAATAATGTATTTCAATAGAGATTCTCCATTGGGCGTGTTTTTAGTCCAGAACTGCGCTTAATCTGTGTCCGGGAAACCGACCCTTAAACTTGATCAATGAAGCATGAATTGTAGTAGAAGCAATAATATGCAGAATGAACTTGCATCAGCCCCCCCCCCCCCCCCCCCCCCCCTTTTTTGGAAAACTGACAACATATCAAGATATTGATTGATTCATTACGCTATAGGGAGACATGAGCAAAATGCATTGCTTACAGACAGTACTGCAAATGTTGAATTGTTGTTGTATGTACAGATTATTAATATAATACAGTATATTATATTATTATACTGACAATATAGATATGATATACTGACAATATATACTGACCAAAAATATAAACGCAACATGTAAAGTGTTGGTCCCATGTTTCATGAGCTGAAATAAAAGATCCCTGAAATGTTCCATACGCACAAAAAGCTTATTTCTCTCAAATTTTGTGCACAAATTTGTTTACATCCCGGTTAGTGAGTGTTTCTCCTTTGCCAAGATAATCCATCCACATGACAGGTGTGGCATATCAAGAAGCTGATTAAACAGCATGATCATTACACAGGTGCACCTTGTGCTGGGGACAATAAAAGACCACTCTAAAATGTGCAGTTGTCACAAAACACAATGCCACAGATGTCTCAAGTGTTGAGGGAGCGTGTTGAGGGATACTCTGTTCCCCTTACCAGCTTCAGTCCCCACACTCTGGCCCCCTTACCAGCTTCAGTCCCACTTCCCCACACCCTGGCCCCCTTACCAGCTTCAGTCCCCACACTCTGGCCCCCTTACCAGCTTCAGTCCTACTTCCCCACACTCTGGCCCCCTTACCAGCTTCAGTCCCCACTTTCCCACACTCTGTTCCCCTAACCAGCTTCAGTCCTACTTCCCCACACTCTGGCCCCCTTACCAGCTTCAGTCCCCACTTTCCCACACTCTGTTCCCCTAACCAGCTTCAGTCCCACTTCCCCACACCCTGGTCCCCTTACCAGCTTCAGGCCCACTTCCCCACACTCTGGCCCCCTTACCAGCTTCAGTCCCCACTTCCCCATACTCTGTTCTCCTTACCAGCTTCAGTCCCCACACTCTGATCCCCTTACCAGCTTCAGTCCCCACACTCTGAGCCCCTTACCAGCTTCAGTCCCCACTTCCCCACACTCTGTTCCCCTTACCAGCTTCAGTCCCCACTTCCCCACACTCTGTTCCCCTTACCAGCTTCAGTCCCACTTCCCCACACCCTGGCCCTCTTACCAGCTTCAGTCCCACTTCCCCACACCCTGGCCCTCTTACCAGCTTCAGTTCCACTTCCCCACACTCTGGCCCCCTTACCAGCTTCAGTCCCCACTTCCCCACACTCTGTTCCCCTTACCAGCTTCAGTCCCACTTCCCCACACCCTGGCCCTCTTACCAGCTTCAGTCCCACTTCCCCACACCCTGGCCCCCTTACCAGCTTCAGTTCCACTTCCCCACACTCTGGCCCCCTTACCAGCTTCAGTCCCCACTTCCCCACACTCTGGCCCCCTTACCAGCTTCAGTCCCCACTTTCCCACACTCTGTTCCCCTTACCAGCTTCAGTTCCACTTCCCCACACTCTGGCCCCCTTACCAGCTTCAGTCCCCACTTCCCCACACCCTGGCCCCCTTACCAGCTTCAGTCCCCACTTCCCCATACTCTGTTCCCCTTACCAGCTTCAGTCCCCACACTCTGGCCCCCTTACCAGCTTCAGTCCCACTTCCCCACACCCTGGCCCCCTTACCAGCTTCAGTCCTACTTCCCCACACTCTGGCCCCCTTACCAGCTTCAGTCCCACTTCCCCACACCCTGGCCCCCTTACCAGCTTCAGTCCTACTTCCCCACACCCTGGCCCCCTTACCAGCTTCAGTCCTACTTCCCCACACTCTGGCCCCCTTACCAGCTTCAGTCCCACTTCCCCACACCCTGGCCCCCTTACCAGCTTCAGTCCCCACTTCCCCATACTCTGTTCCCCTTACCAGCTTCAGTCCCACTTCCCCACACCCTGGCCCCCTTACCAGCTTCAGTTCCACTTCCCCACACTCTGGCCCCCTTACCAGCTTCAGTCCCCACTTCCCCATACTCTGTTCCCCTTACCAGCTTCAGTCCCCACACTCAGGTCCCCTTACCAGCTTCAGTCCTACTTCCCCACACTCTGGCCCCCTTACCAGCTTCAGTCCCCACTTTCCCACACTCTGTTCCCCTTACCAGCTTCAGTTCCCACTTCCCCACACCCTGGCCCCCTTACCAGCTTCAGTCCTACTTCCCCACACTCTGGCCCCCTTACCAGCTTCAGTCCCCACTTTCCCACACCCTGGCCCCCTTACCAGCTTCAGTCCTACTTCCCCACACTCTGGCCCCCTTACCAGCTTCAGGCCCACCAGTCTGCATCAGACGCCCACGTCATCCCCCACCCCCGCCCTCTCAAGGTTTTTGACCCTGAGTACAACAGGAACGGAGGTGCAGGGGATCATGCCCAGGTCTGTGATGACCAGGTCAACAAAATCTGGTGGCGTCACGTCATAGACCAGATTCAACAGCCCCAGGGAGCTGACGTCCTGCCAGTTCTCCAGCAGGGGCTTCCCCTTCCGGGTCACCATCAGGTCATCAGGGTCATCTGAGGAAAGAAAGTGATTGGTCGAAGGCGAGGGGTTAGCGAAAGTCTTACTGCTAATGCTTATTACAGTTTGTGTCAATGCTGTTTCAATTCTAGTCAGTTTAGGAATAGAATAGAATTTAAAATGTGAATTTAAAATGTGGATAATTTTGTCTCAAAGTTAAAATTACATTTGCAAATTCCTATCTGTGTTGACTAGAAGCAGAATAGAAATTACTCAAACTCAGCAACTAAAATGTTTTTTGGGCTTGTTTTACAAACACTAGATTACTCCATTATCTCTAGAAAGGTAACTCCATACTGCAGGTCTTTACATGTCATCGTAAAGTCAAGGAGGCCAAATAACTCCCACATTACCAAGCTCGTTTGAGACAAAGGAGTCAGTTTGCACTCACAGCAGACCAGGACTGGCACGTTGAAGGTCCTGGCCACCAGAGCTATCTGAGACATCACGTAGCCATTAGCCAGCAGGGCATGGGCACCCAGGAACACCTTAGATACCTGGGGAGAGGGGGAGTTTAATGATTACATTTAGACGTTAAATACATTTGACCATTTATAAACCCACAAAAGAGAAATATCACCTATGTGGAGATTTGTTACAAAAAGGACAGGGAAGAAAGAGGGTTAAACTGAGAAGCATTAGAAGAAAATAAATCACTGTTTGGATTTTCTACAAGAGGTCAACAACATTTGTGATAATTCAACAAATGCCTAAAACACCAAAAGCCTACATTCTAAATTCCACAGTGCAATGACACCTCCAGTCCCCCAAGGGGCGGTCATCTGTTTTGTAATCACCTCAGGTAGTATGTATGAGAGGGCAGAGATGAGGACTAGGTTACCTCAGGTAGTATGTATGAGAGGGCAGAGATGAGGACTAGGTTACCTCAGGTAGTATGTATGAGAGGGCAGAGATGAGGACTAGGTTACCTCAGGTAGTATGTATGAGAGGGCAGAGATGAGGACTAGGTTACCTCAGGTAGTATGTATGTGAGAGGGCAGAGATGAGGACTAGGTTACCTCAGGTAGTATGTATGAGAGGGCAGAGATGAGGACTAGGTTACCTCAGGTAGTATGTATGAGAGGGCAGAGATGAGGACTAGGTTACCTCAGGTAGTATGTATGAGAGGGCAGAGATGAGGACTAGGTTACCTCAGGTAGTATGTATGAGAGGGCAGAGATGAGGACTAGGTTACCTCAGGTAGTATGTATGTGAGAGGGCAGAGATGAGGACTAGGTTACCTCAGGTAGTATGTATGAGAGGGCAGAGATGAGGACGTAGGTGCAGCTGATGCCTCTCTGTACGAGGCGTCTCAGAGCCTCCCTTCCCTCCAGACGAGGACCGGCTGTCCACAATGATCACACGGAACTACCTGCTCTTATCAAATGCCTCGCAAAGGATGTGGTTCACCAGGGACGAGCTACAGAGGGGGAGAAGGGACATGAGACCTCAGTAACTGATGCCTTCCTTACTGACCCCTAGTCTGGTCTTAGATCTGCAACAGAGGGGGAGAAGTGCTTGATCGCTATACGATCACTACTGGATTGTAAACCGACCCCCTGACCCATACCCCCTAGGCACTCCTCTGAGAGGATAGGAATCGATTTAAGCAATATGGTTAGAGGCATAGCTTCACTGGCCTTGCATGCAGAGTGGCCGGGTGGTAGTTTGGCCACCGATCCACTCCCACGTTCTGTCATTTAAAACGTAAGGATATTGACAGACGTTAGATCTTACCACCCATAATCCAGAATGACGTCTCCGTCACTGATCTTCTCTATGGCGTATTTAGAGAGACGGCCTTGGCTGCCAGAACTACCTATGATGAGTTAAAATGTGACCAGAACCTGAAACTGGCCTTTTAACACACAGAACTGAAACTGTATTCTGAAACTCACCTCCTCTTCTTTGCACCGACTAGGAATATTGGAGATTTCTTTCTTGATGTACTTGATTGCGTTGCCAATGCTCGCCGACAGGGGGCGACATTGATTGAGAAAACTGAAAAAATAAAAACAAAGAAAAATACACAAAATGTTTGATTTCTTCAATCAGCTTCATATTAAATCAGCGCTTGACATTAACTTTTGTAGCCACTTGTCCTTTGGACAAGTATGACAGATTTTTTACTTGTCCAAAAGCTCAAGTCATTTGTATGATGCAAGGAACCACTTTACAAATTAAAATACATGACTATCTTTTTACCATAGAGAATCAGACTGTCTATTGGCTTCTCTGCATAGTCAAGCCTGCCTCAAAAGTCAACACTGCCCCTTTAAGGCTCTCCCGGAGGATGGTTGGCCACCCTTGGTAGCCTATAAAATAATGCAATTTTACAATTACAACCAAATACTTTTCATGTCTTTATAAAATAATTCCCTCCAGGGCTCAAAATGAAGGGCGTCCCGTCGTCCCTGGTGATAAAAAACGTGTCTACGGTTCAAAAACAAATTCTGGGACAACAGATCCAATTATTTTTTTATTTTTTTAAAGCAATGAGGCTGAAGCAACAGATCAGAACGTTTAGCTAAAAATGTTGATGAAGTTTTATTACTTCATATTATAAAAAAGGTTAACATGGCTGTAGTAGGCCATGTGCAAATGTTCCAACATGCAATTAGTGGGAAAACACCGTTCATGTGACATAGATGAAAATATCCGTTAGAAATTAAGAAAGAGGGAAGATCTAAAGATGCAATCAACTCGCATAGTAATAATATTACTTATTATTAGTAGTATTACTAATAGGATTTATGTCTTTGGCTGCTGGACAATAAAATTAACGTTGATTTGAAATGCTGGTTTTAATGTTTTTAATCCCTAAACATTTCTGTGGTCGTATTTTTGCTACTTTGAAACGAGGCCAAGACATGCTTCATAAAATGACAATAAAACATCCAGGTTTTAAAACAATGAAGATAAATAAATAATAAATAAATTGGTCATTTAGCAGACGCTCTTATCCAGAGCGACTTACAGGAGCAATTAGGGTTAAGTGCCTTGCTCAAGGGCACATGGACAGAATTTCACCTAATCGGCTCGGGGATTAGAACCAGCGACCTTTCGGTTACTGGCACAACGCTCTTAACCACTAAGCTACCTGCCGAAAATAGTTTCAAAATGCTGACCGCCTCTGCTCAGATTGCAAGGTGGGTGATGTGCAGTGTGTAACGGGCCATTGATCCGGTCTTGATCTCAACAAACCGGGCCTCAAGTATGTCGACAGAATCAAGCCTGTAGACGTTCATGTTAATTATCCTTCATTATATTTGTCAAACATGACTGGTGTTTAACATATATTTATCTATTTAAAAGTCTCATTCAAGTTTGCTACATTTTCTGGCTACTCCCTCATGGGTTGGACATGAGACAATATGCATATCACCTACATTTTGACATGTAGGCTTATTTATTTATGTACATGAAAAATAGATTTTAATATTATTCCAATGTTGGCCTCTGATCTGAGTAATTGTTTGAATTTGTGAATCTTGGATGATTTTTGTAACTTGTCCATTCGGACAACTTAAATCAATATTCTTCTTGTCCAACATAAAAAAAAAAAAAACTTGTCCTGGACAAGAGAACGTTAATGTGGAGCCCTGTAGATGATTTCCACGGGGGGCCAGTATGAAAAATAAAATAAAATAAAAATAATGTATGCACTCAATAACTGTAAGTCGCTCTGGATAAGAGTGTCTGCTAAATGACTAAAATGTAAAATATAAATTTGAGAAAAGGGCTGTCGACCACGTACCTGATATAGGGCTTGAGCTTGTTGACCAGGTCTCTGGCCAGCTCCTCATTAGGAGGAGTAGCGTAGTCCAGCCAGCTCCTCATTAGGAGGAGTAGCGTAGTCCAGCCAGCTCCTCATTAGGAGGAGTAGCGTAGTCCGGCCCCAGCTCCTCATTAGGAGGAGTAGCGTAGTCCGGCCAGCTCCTCATTAGGAGGAGTAGCGTAGTCTGGCCCCAGCTCCTCATTAGGAGGAGTAGCGTAGTCCAGCCAGCTCCTCATTAGGAGGAGTAGCGTAGTCCGGCCAGCTCCTCATTAGGAGGAGTAGCGTAGTCCGGCCAGCTCCTCATTAGGAGGAGTAGCGTAGTCTGGCCAGCTCCTCATTAGGAGGAGTAGCGTAGTCCGGCCCCAGCTCCTCATTAGGAGGAGTAGCGTAGTCTGGCCAGCTCCTCATTAGGAGGAGTAGCGTAGTCCGGCCCCAGCTCCTCATTAGGAGGAGTAGCGTAGTCCGGCCAGCTCCTCATTAGGAGGAGTAGCGTAGTCTGGCCAGCTCCTCATTAGGAGGAGTAGCGTAGTCCGGCCAGCTCCTCATTAGGAGGAGTAGCGTAGTCCGGCCCCAGCTCCTCATTAGGAGGAGTAGCGTAGTCCAGCCAGCTCCTCATTAGGAGGAGTAGCGTAGTCTGGCCAGCTCCTCATTAGGAGGAGTAGCGTAGTCTGGCCAGCTCCTCATTAGGAGGAGTAGCGTAGTCCGGCCAGCTCCTCATTAGGAGGAGTAGCGTAGTCTGGCCAGCTCCTCATTAGGAGGAGTAGCGTAGTCCAGCCCCAGCTCCTCATTAGGAGGAGTAGCGTAGTCCGGCCAGCTCCTCATTAGGAGGAGTAGCGTAGTCCAGCCAGCTCCTCATTAGGAGGAGTAGCGTAGTCCAGCCAGCTCCTCATTAGGAGGAGTAGCGTAGTCTGGCCAGCTCCCCATTAGGAGGAGTAGCGTAGTCCAGCCAGCTCCTCATTAGGAGGAGTAGCGTAGTCTGGCCAGCTCCTCATTAGGAGGAGTAGCGTAGTCCAGCCCCAGCTCCTCATTAGGAGGAGTAGCGTAGTCCGGCCCCAGCTCCTCATTAGGAGGAGTAGCGTAGTCCGGCCCCAGCTCCTCATTAGGAGGAGTAGCGTAGTCCGGCCCCAGCTCCTCATTAGGAGGAGTAGCGTAGTCCGGCCCCAGCTCCTCATTAGGAGGAGTAGCGTAGTCCGGCCCCAGCTCCTCATTAGGAGGAGTAGCGTAGTCCGTCCCCAGCTCCCCATTAGGAGGAGTAGCGTAGTCCGGCCAGCTCCTCATTAGGAGGAGTAGCGTAGTCTGGCCAGCTCCTCATTAGGAGGAGTAGCGTAGTCTGGCCAGCTCATCATTAGGAGGAGTAGCGTAGTCCAGCCAGCTCCTCATTAGGAGGAGTAGCGTAGTCCGGCCAGCTCCTCATTAGGAGGAGTAGCGTAGTCCGGCCCCAGCTCCTCATTAGGAGGAGTAGCGTAGTCCGGCCCCAGCTCCTCATTAGGAGGAGTAGCGTAGTCCGGCCCCAGCTCCTCATTAGGAGGAGTAGCGTAGTCCGTCCCCAGCTCCCCATTAGGAGGAGTAGCGTAGTCCGGCCAGCTCCTCATTAGGAGGAGTAGCGTAGTCTGGCCAGCTCCTCATTAGGAGGAGTAGCGTAGTCTGGCCAGCTCATCATTAGGAGGAGTAGCGTAGTCCAGCCAGCTCCTCATTAGGAGGAGTAGCGTAGTCCGGCCAGCTCCTCATTAGGAGGAGTAGCGTAGTCCGGCCAGCTCCTCATTAGGAGGAGTAGCGTAGTCTAGCCAGCTCATCATTAGGAGGAGTAGCGTAGTCTGGCCAGCTCCCCATTAGGAGGAGTAGCGTAGTCTGGCCAGCTCCTCATTAGGAGGAGTAGCGTAGTCCGGCCCCAGCTCCCCATTAGGAGGAGTAGCGTAGTCCAGCCCCAGCTCCTCATTAGGAGGAGTAGCGTAGTCTGGCCAGCTCCTCATTAGGAGGAGTAGCGTAGTCCGGCCAGCTCCTCATTAGGAGGAGTAGCGTAGTCTGGCCAGCTCCTCATTAGGAGGAGTAGCGTAGTCTGGCCAGCTCCCCATTAGGAGGAGTAGCGTAGTCTGGCCAGCTCCCCATTAGGAGGAGTAGCGTAGTCCAGCCCCAGCTCCTCATTAGGAGGAGTAGCGTAGTCCAGCCCCAGCTCCTCATTAGGAGGAGTAGCGTAGTCCAGCCCCAGCTCCTCATTAGGAGGAGTAGCGTAGTCTGGCCAGCTCCTCATTAGGAGGAGTAGCGTAGTCTGGCCAGCTCCCCATTAGGAGGAGTAGCGTAGTCCAGCCCCAGCTCCCCATTAGGAGGAGTAGCGTAGTCTGGCCAGCTCCCCATTAGGAGGAGTAGCGTAGTCCAGCCCCAGCTCCTCATTAGGAGGAGTAGCGTAGTCTGGCCAGCTCCCCATTAGGAGGAGTAGCGTAGTCTGGCCAGCTCCCCATTAGGAGGAGTAGCGTAGTCCAGCCCCAGCTCCCCATTAGGAGGAGTAGCGTAGTCCAGCCCCAGCTCCCCATTAGGAGGAGTAGCGTAGTCCAGCCCCAGCTCCTCATTAGGAGGAGTAGCGTAGTCCAGCCCCAGCTCCTCATTAGGAGGAGTAGCGTAGTCTGGCCAGCTCCTCATTAGGAGGAGTAGCGTAGTCTGGCCAGCTCCCCATTAGGAGGAGTAGCGTAGTCCAGCCCCAGCTCCCCATTAGGAGGAGTAGCGTAGTCTGGCCAGCTCCCCATTAGGAGGAGTAGCGTAGTCCAGCCCCAGCTCCTCATTAGGAGGAGTAGCGTAGTCTGGCCAGCTCCTCATTAGGAGGAGTAGCGTAGTCCGGCCAGCTCCTCATTAGGAGGAGTAGCGTAGTCCGGCCCCAGCTCCTCATTAGGAGGAGTAGCGTAGTCCAGCCAGCTCCTCATTAGGAGGAGTAGCGTAGTCTGGCCAGCTCCTCATTAGGAGGAGTAGCGTAGTCCGGCCAGCTCCTCATTAGGAGGAGTAGCGTAGTCTGGCCAGCTCCCCATTAGGAGGAGTAGCGTAGTCTGGCCAGCTCCTCATTAGGAGGAGTAGCGTAGTCCGGCCAGCTCCTCATTAGGAGGAGTAGCGTAGTCCGGCCCCAGCTCCTCATTAGGAGGAGTAGCGTAGTCCGGCCCCAGCTCCTCATTAGGAGGAGTAGCGTAGTCCAGCCAGCTCCTCATTAGGAGGAGTAGCGTAGTCCGGCCCCAGCTCCTCATTAGGAGGAGTAGCGTAGTCCGGCCCCAGCTCCTCATTAGGAGGAGTAGCGTAGTCCAGCCAGCTCCTCATTAGGAGGAGTAGCGTAGTCCAGCCAGCTCCTCATTAGGAGGAGTAGCGTAGTCTGGCCAGCTCCCCATTAGGAGGAGTAGCGTAGTCTGGCCAGCTCCTCATTAGGAGGAGTAGCGTAGTCCAGCCAGCTCCTCATTAGGAGGAGTAGCGTAGTCCAGCCAGCTCCTCATTAGGAGGAGTAGCGTAGTCCGGCCCCAGCTCCTCATTAGGAGGAGTAGCGTAGTCTGGCCAGCTCCTCATTAGGAGGAGTAGCGTAGTCCAGCCAGCTCCTCATTAGGAGGAGTAGCGTAGTCCAGCCAGCTCCCCATTAGGAGGAGTAGCGTAGTCCGGCCCCAGCTCCTCATTAGGAGGAGTAGCGTAGTCCAGCCCCAGCTCCTCATTAGGAGGAGTAGCGTAGTCCGGCCAGCTCCTCATTAGGAGGAGTAGCGTAGTCCAGCCAGCTCCTCATTAGGAGGAGTAGCGTAGTCCAGCCAGCAGGACTGGAGTCAGTAGCACTGTACCTGAGGAGGATCACGTCTAAGAGCAGGCCTGGAGTCAGTAGCACTGTACCTGAGGAGGATCACGTCTAAGAGCAGGCCTGGAGTCAGTAGCACTGTACCTGGAGGAGGATCACGTCTAAGAGCAGGCCTGGAGTCAGTAGCACTGTACCTGAGGAGGATCACGTCTAAGAGCAGGCCTGGAGTCAGTAGCACTGTACCTGGAGGAGGATCACGTCTAAGAGCAGGCCTGGAGTCAGTAGCACTGTACCTGAGGAGGATCACGTCTAAGAGCAGGCCTGGAGTCAGTAGCACTGTACCTGTTTGAAGGCTTGGCGCTACAGAGCGAGCGTTGGATCCCGCACACGATACCCTGGGAGTACTGCAGACCCAACCGCACGATGGAGGGGTGGGATCACTGACAGACAGAACCAAACAATTACAGATACCATCAAAAAAAATGTACAAGCTCTCAATGTGTATATATAATTGTTATAACTACCAGTGTTATAACTACCAGTGTTACGAACAACAAGAATAAGTAAGAAAGCTTCTGATGGCGAGAGTGACCCTAGGCAGGGGCTAGCAGACCTGCAAACCTTGAAGAATTTTTAGGAGTACCATTTCAGCGCCGTGGCGGCATCCCCGGCCCCCACGATGGCACGCGTGCGACACCCACACTGCTCAAATCATGGGCAAATGCACCTTTTTTAGCCTAATAATGCTGTTGGCAGAAAACTAGTAGGCTATAGACTGTTATGGAGGTGGTGTCAATGACACTTTCACATTTTTCTAAGTTAAATTTAGGGGTAATGATTATTCTAATTAACAGGTGTCTTTATGTGGACAGTATGTAGTGAAAATGTAAACTGGCTTCTTCATTTTGTTTGGGGAGAATATTCTGAATAATTCAATAACTGGATGCAATGTATTAGTCTAGCTTACTGTAGGCTATTTGGAATATGAAAGAACTGAACTAGACCTAGATGAACTTGTTTCAGATCTCCATCCCTGACCTCATCCATCAGGTTAGGTCAGACTACTAGGCTACCATTCATTCAACGTGCCTTGTCGTCATTGGTGAACTGACTATTATGACATCATCAGCAGCCTACAGTTGACCTCCAGCTATATGAAGAGGACAGATCCACAACTGATTCATTAAAAACACAGGTCTGCTAATCTTTTAACAGTCTAACATAACTTTCTGTGAAGGACGGTGTCAGAACAGAACAGCTCTCTCTGCCACGTCTGTTTC